CAAATGCTATTGTCAGCCGACCATACAATCATTGGAAATTTAACCCGACTTGAGTCATACTTCTGTTACAAACTCCGTTCGCCTCAGTTAAAGTAATTATTCAACCCAATTTTATGCATTATGAACTTCTGCTAAACCCCAGTGAGATCGTAGGCGATCGACTCCATCATGCACGTATAGCGCCTTTCAAGTTCTGAGGCTTGAACAGTCAAAAGTTAAAACAGGGCCAGGGTAGCCAACTTAAAGCCCAAGCTTAAACAAGAAGGTGTGCTTCGGGATCTTTTTCGAATGGATGATAAGAGGTCATGGTTACAGTTACATCCGCGTTGTTGCAATCAAGTAACATCCCCGCACTTGTTGCGGAGTCAAGACCCGGATCTCACCAAGATCGGCAAACAACAAGCAAACAATACGATAACCTCGATTAATTTGTGATGGGAGTAAAGAACTTGCACTTTACATCTTGGCCTTGAGGATAGTCGCATCATGTTGAAGGAATATCTGGTCGCAGGCATTCTGCTTGCTTCGCCTCTGCTGGCTGTAGCACAAGATCTCATCCCTCCGATTCTTGAAAAGGCTGATTCGTTTGTGGAAGAGACTTGGTCTGCTGATCCAAGTCCAAAGGTCATTTACATCGAAAAGAAGTTTGCGTCGGTGTCGGATAAAGATGGTCTTACTTTGATTCCACCTACCGCCCATGAGTTCGCGACAACCTTTCAAGATGATCTTGCCAAGATCACAGGATCCAACTGGAAGCTGAAGCGCGTCGATTCGCTTCCTACTAATGCCAGTGGAATTTCACTCGGCTCCTACACTGGGGAGTCTTCTGATCTCACATACGAGAACGGAAAATCAACATCAGAAGGCTACGAGATTATCATCAACTCCAATCGCGTATTCATCGGTGGCTCAGGCGCTCGAGGAATGTGGTGGGGAACCAGAACATTTCTTCAGCTCCTCCTCGCTGGCAACGGGACGATTACGAGTACTCTTGGTCGAGATGCTCCGGCCTATGCTACTAGAGGATATATGCTTGATGCGGGGAGAAAGTGGTATTCGAAGGACTTTCTAAAGGAGCTGTGCAGTTATGCCTCGTTCTTCAAGATGAATGAATTTCACTATCATCTTAGCGATAACTATCCGCTGAATCGCGGCAAGAATGATAGTTGGAGGGATGTTTACTCTCATTTTTCGCTGTTGCCAGAGGATAAATCGCTACTGGGCATTCTTCATGGACGAGAGAACGAGACGTTGTCGAAAGATGATTTCGCAGAACTTCAGAGCCACTGTGCTTCGCGAGGTGTCACCGTCATTCCAGAGATCGAGGCACCAGGTCATTCTCTATATCTCACCAAATGGAAACCTGAGCTTGCCCTGGCCAAAAAGGACTTGCTCAACCTGACGCACCCGGACACCTTACCAACGGTGCAGAGTATCTGGAAAGAGTTTCTCCCATGGTTCAAGACGAAAGAAGTTCATATTGGCGCTGATGAATATGACGCTGAACTTGCTGATGACTACATCACCTTCGTCAACAAAATGAGCCGTTTCATAAACTCCATGTCCAACAAGAGAAGTCGAATCTGGGGTACTTATGAACCGTCAAAACTAAACCAAACAATCGATAAGAACGTCATCATCCAGCACTGGCAGTACGGCCAATCCGACCCCGTGCAACTCGTCCAAGATGGCTACGATGTCATCAACTCAGAAGACTGGTGGGCCTACACAAGTCTCAAAAACGACCACATGCCTATCCTCCCAGCGCGCTACCCGCAGTTCTTTAACGAGAGTCGTGTTTTCAACTTTGCGGATAAGGAGGAGTGGCAGTGGACGCCTGCTGATTTCAACCCTGTGAATACGAGTTTGCAGCTGAAGAGTGATGAGAAGAGGTTGAAAGGTGCGACGTTGGCTGCGTGGAATGATAACGGTCCTGATGCGAGTACGCAACTTGAGGCGTATTACTCTATGAGGAGGGGTATTGCGGTGGTGGGAGGGAGGGCGTGGAGTGGAAGTCGAGGACCGAAGTTGCTGGAGGAGACGAGTGATAGCAGTGTTGACTTTTACTCTCCTCGAGCTCCAGATCAGAATCTGGATAGGGTGCTTTCTCTCGGGGGTAATGGTACCTTAGTATCGTGGACTCGTTCAGACAATGATGGAAATGAAGTTCACCTTGGTCATGGGAGCAAGGGGATGAACTACACCCTTGCACTCTCCATCACAAGCCCATTCATCCTCTCCGGTCCCGATAATACCCTCTCTCTAGATAAGGATGGAGCCATGGTCTTCACCGCAGATGGATGGGAGTACCCCCTTCGCAAAGTCACCAAAGACGACGCACTCGATCTCGACCCCGGAGCTCCAGGTCGTATCTGGGCCAACACTTCATCCACGCACAAACCCGTCAAAGTCACTGCTCCAACCAACATCACTCTGGTGACGGACACCCTGCATGGAACGGTTGTGTTCAGCAATGGCGAAGTGGTAGGAAGATTTGAGGTCTTTGTGTATGGCGGGAGGAATACACAGTTTAGTTGGAGTCAGATGGCGTTTGTTGCACCGCTGGAAAATATTGAGGGAGGCTTGGAGCGTTTGGAACTTACTACATCTTCTAACTTTACGGAGGCAGGTGGAACGGGTGGGAAAGAGAGTGCTGATGTTCCGAAAGGGAATGATGCTGTTCTGTGTTCCGTTTCTTTAGCGATCACGCTAGGTTTAGTCGCGGGAGGCTTGTTACTCGTATCATTGTGAGATACTGTACATGTCAATTAGTTCTCCCTGTTCTTATTCATTGAAGCACATCAAACCGGTCAAGGCCAACATACCAACGAGGGTGATAGCTTTATGACACTGACAACGTTACATCTGCATCTAGACACCTTTATCTGCTTTCTCCATATTTTTCAAGCCCAGCAAACAGTTCTGTCTCCTTCTCGTGTCAGGCGGTGTGTCTCAGGCCTGACTTCGACCAGGAAAAGGAAATGCTGTGATATCCATTTCGTCGAGCAACCGGCAAGAGCTCATCGCGAAGCCCACGCCACTCCTCTCTATCGATATATCATGTGCGCAGGACGGAATCACTCTTCCTCGCTCGTTCCTCAACTAGACACTTCAAGAATAGCTAAGCTTGGCGAGGCACTCAACGTCACCAACGAAGGGTGGGTTGAAGGCATGTTACTTCCTTTCGTCGCGTCTGGCTCTTAGGTTGTTCCAAAGGACGTCTGCAAACAACCTGAACGATGCCCGGTATTCTGCCCCGTGGATACAACGGACGATTGCTTCGTGGGCTCTATCCGGTGGCTTTTCTAGCAGCCTACGCTCCATCATGAGCAGCCCTGATTCGGACTACGGGTCGCTGTCCCTTGACGCTGACGGTTCGTAGTCGTGAGGTGTCCAGCCTATGAGAAGAGCCATGCCTGTGTCTTGATGATGCCAGGTCTGATACAGCGGTTGATATTTCGCTAGTCATTAGTCCCATGATCGATAAGTACAGCATGTCTAAAAGCCAGGACCAGACTACGTAGCCGAGGTCAAGACTATGTTCCGGCGGTGATCTGGTGACACTTTTCTTTGAGTCGGCTTTGCAATTGACGGACTCGTACAGCGCAAGACCGACGACGGAGATGTGCTAGATGTTATTTTTCTTCTCTGCAGCTCTCATGTTTCTTTATACACCCCTCTTGGCTAGTATCAGGCCTCGGTGGCCGCCTAGGACATCTCGACTAGTGTGCTGGGTCATCAAGACACTCCGACCACTAACGACGAAACAACTGGCTGATACACTGCTGACACTATATTTGGCTTGGTTGAGACTTTTGTGTCTCTTTTTCTCTATGGTAAGGCAGAGTATCTGAAGCCAGAGAGACAGTTTTTAAGTTAATGCCGGACGGACACCTCTATCTCGATCAAAGCCCGACCAATGCGTCCGGCACTCTCTAGCTCTTTCTCCGCCGCTCATACGCAGAAGACTTCTGTGCTCAACACGCATAATATAATCTGCATTATGCTTCTGCAGTATTTGAGGCCAACGTGCCCTTCTTTCAGGGCATCAACACGCCGCTCGCCCGGTGGCGGTGGCGATAGTATTGTCGGAGACGAGCTGGGTACACGTGAGGGCTACAGCGGCGTCACTCTTCTCCATGTGTACAGAGTCCTACGGATGCTTCTCTATCTCGAGAAGCTTCTCTCTGTGTCAAATTCGAGAGCCACACCAACCAGGTCGATGCCGACTTGCAAAGCAACAGGACTGTACCACGCCTCCAGGTCAGCCTCTGAAGATTATCAATCTCCCTCACTCAGACGCTTGTTGCCCTCGGCGACTGTTTGGCCCAGGCGATACTTGCTGTATCTCGTATTAATCGCATGTACGCGACCAGGTGAGGGACCAAGCACATGAACCCTAGTGCACTGAACCCTAGTAATATAGCACCAGATACCAACCGCAAACTTGCCGCACCTTTTTCTCAGCTTATGATAGGCAATTTGGCTACCTCAGCTTTCCGTTTGGCGGTTTGCGAGCCGTAATGATGAGTTGTTGAGGGAAATACCTGTGACTGAAGCCTCCCAAAGGCATGCTGAGCCAATCGAGAAGCTCATTCCGGATGGAGCTGTTCTGGGTAGCGACACGGCAACCCTATATCTCATCATTTCATACTACACTTCTTTAGCATCACCTCACTCATTTTGAACAAGGTATCGTACGCGCGAATAGATGTGGCTAGTACCACCTGGCTACGATTCATTCCGCAAGTCACCGCCCTGGCTCTACAGAGGGTCAACGTTTCCTATACATATTGCCCCGACACGGTGGAGGCATCAAATAGTCGTCCAAGGCCCCTCAACACATGCTAAAAGCCGTTGCGCAGCCTTGTGGTACTGCAGAGTACCGCATCCGACTTGCTGCTTGACACCTGCAACTCGGAGCTGATGTAAATTGCCTGGACCCATCTGGCAATCAGACTCTCCATATACATGCAGAATCTTGTGTGCGCTCCTCAAGCATGAATGGAGGCCTCTTGTATGCATTGCTACAGAAAGGTGCTGATCCCAATGCTCTAGAGAGTAATGGAGCCTTCGTCCTCCATCCCGCCGCGACGTACCGTGACAACGCCGCAGTCATCATCCTAGGTCTTTTACGTTACGGCGCTGGCTCGCGTACCGAGCAACATGATGGTACGTATGTGCTGTACTATCTTCAGGTTCATTGGCCCTCTGATCTAGCCAAACAGCTTCTCGGCCCGGGACTCAACCCCGAAGCCGGTGACGAGAACGGCCGGACTCCTCTAGTTCATCGACGGTAGTAGGCAATACTAAGATTATGCGGCCTCTATGCTAATATGGCGTCTTTGTGAGTACTTCTATCTCTGACGATGAGGAGGTCACCGTCTTTTGCGTTACGAGGCAGAAGAACGTCGATGTTGTGGCAGCCCTCCTCCAACACAGTCCTGATCCCTACCACTATGATCACTCTGGCAGGATAATCCTGTACAACCACGCAATAGTGTATAACGCCAAGAGTTACGGCAGCACCATCACATCATAGCCAAAATTAGGAACTTGTTTATCGCACGCAGCACTAACCTCAATGCTAAACGCGGCTGTCACGGAAGTCAGCGGACTGTGCTAGTTCTAGATGTAGGCAGTCTCACCTAGGGAATTCGTTGTCATCACACACCACGCCCTAAACTTTTAGTCTTCAAAGTTATCACTCGTTTCCTATGCTCTTGAACAACACCCTAGCATGGAGAAGCCGTCTACCCACAGAATAGGTGCATTTGCAACATGGTATGAATACACATCACGTAACGAATGACCCGAGGATAGGTGGTCTCGCATAGACTATACCTAATAACTACTAATTATGGAACATTATTGCGAACCTCTACTCGCAGGTAATGCCAGTCCCCAATCAGCGGCAACTTCTTTCACAGCTTTGACTTGGGCTTGGTGACGACTCCGACACACTTGATCTCGATATTGGCGTTCATCGGAAGACTCTTGACAGCAACGCATCTAATACCGTCAGCATACTTATCCGAGACATCTCCCAGTTTACTTACGTTCTAGCAGGCTTGACATCGCCCCAATACTCAGCATACACCTCGTTCATCTTGGCGTAGTACTTCATATCAGACAAATAAATGTTCACCTCAATCACATCATTGAGGCTTGAGCCAGCCTCGTCAAGAATAGCGCCGAGGTTGGAAATAATTTGGCGCTGAGATATCTCAATTAGCATCTGATTCTAGTTTTAGGAGGAATTGACGTACCGTATGAGCCTCAATGTCGCCGTCGATCATCTTCCCCGTCTTGGGGTCCATGGCGACGCCGCCGGATGTGAAGACGAAGCCATTGGCGATGATGGCCTGGTTCATCAAGTTCTGCGGCACAGCAGGCGCCTTTTTTGTAGAGACTGGAGTTCGTGCCATTTTGGGTGAGTTGTCTTTTGTTGGTTGATGGATGGTGAGGCGTGAGGGAATGTCGAGATGAGGGCGATCGCGGGGTGTAGATCTGTCACCCGAAGACCACGGATATCCGATTGGAGCCGATGGGTCTTTCAGCACTGTCGCCAACCAGTGAAATGGAGTTGAGATAATTCAGGGAATTATATTTTAATGAGCATGATTGTTACAAAAATGATGTATACATTTTATAGAATGGTATGGACGGCGTCGTGATTGCAACGCTTACTTCCTAATCAGGCAGTTTTGGCACTTCGCCGAGATCGGACTGGCAGCCATGAGCTCTTCCATTCATAAGAGGGTGAAATCGTCTCTTCTTTAGTAACCAATGCTGTAGAGGAGAGTCTTGGACCTCATGTGATCTGATACTGGCTAAATAAACAATACCGAGGCTTCCCAAGCGTCGTCTGTTGTAGGCTCCGTTGGCCATATCGGCCTACAACAGTAGCGTCACCATCAATAACTCCTCGGCAACTCAAGAACCTTCTCACTGATATAATTCAACATCATCTCCCTACTAACCGGCGCAATCCTCGGAATAAGACATTCCCTAAACCACCTCTCAACATCATACTCAACTGCATACCCCATCCCCCCAAGCGTCAACACGGCCCTCTCACACGCTGCAAACGCCGCTTCAGCAGCCATGTACTTTGCACTATTCGTCGCGATCCCAATCTCATCCTGCATCACCTGTCCGCTCTCATCGTACAGCCTCGCCGCGTGATATGTTGCTAGTTTCGCCGCTTCAAGCTTCATGTACGCATCGGCCAGCGGATGAGCGATTGCTTGGTTCATCCCAATCTGCCGTTTAAACACAACCCGGGTTTTTGCGTAGGATGCTGCTTTAGAGAGGGCTTAGTCTAGACCGAGGGCTTCGCCGGTGAGGAGGCAACATTCGGCGTCCATTCCGTAGAGAATCATTTCGAAACCTTTGTTTTTTGAGCCGATGAGGGATGAGGAGGGGATGGTGTAGTTGTCGAAGAATACACTATTGGCGTCGACAGCTCTGCCCCCCATTTTCTTGATCCGTAGCATCTCAAGACCTGGTTGGTCACAGTTGAGATCAATGCAGAAGAGGGAGAGGCCTTCGCTTGGCTTTATGACTTTATCTAGTGGTGTCATTCTCGCGAGAAGTATCATCTTTGACGCTACTTATATACAGGTTATCCAGATCTTCTGGCCCTTAACGTTAAATAAACCATCAGATTTCTCCCTCGCTGCCTTCTCTAGATGAAGTATATCTAGCCCAGCATATGGCTCCGTGACTCCAAAGCACACTCTATACTCCCCCAACACAATCTTCAGAATAGCCTCCTCCAATTGCTCTCTCGACCCAAACTTGGCAAGAGGTTAGGTCGCGTAGACATTAGCATGAATGCTCTGCGCACCCGCCATACCAGCGCCCGATTCTACGATCGTCTGCATCATCATCGTGGCCTCTGAAATACCTAAATCTGAGCCCCTTCATCATTCTAGAAGTGCAATATCAAGCCAACCAGCTTTTGCGAGAGCGGCGTGGAACTCCTTTAGGCCTTGCTCATCTTGGTCATGGGACTGCCAGTATGTGTTGGGAAATTCAGCGCATATTTTGCTAATGGCGTCGCGGACTGTTATTTGGTTGTCTGAGAAGCCTGTTAGGCTCACGAGATGTCTTGGGGGTGTTGTTGAGAAGGCGTGTCGTTGGGCGGAGGTGAATGAGACATCGTGAAGCTAATCGCGACATTTTGAGAGTCGGGTTACGGGATTGAGTATGTTCTTCCTTATGTTTTTGGGCCAATGACTGATGTTTCAGTAAGCTGTAACTTCCAATAGGTAAAGCTTGATGATGTTGAAGTTTTCTTTGTGTTGAATGATGATGTGATGTGAAGAGAGCTTGGGGCAAGGTGCCAAAAATATCCAGTCGACAGCCCTCTCAATAACCACTAAGATTACCTACCTTCTTTTGTCGGCTGGGAGAGCCTTCACCAAGCCCCGAGGAGCAACAAAACTCCTGACATTGGCTCAATGTGCCAAGCTCAATAGCCTAAAGGCCTCCTAAGATACCTATACTCAACTTACCTAAATCTTAGGACAAAGGTCCCAAGTTTCCCTGTCTCTCATAGCCAAAGGGTCAGTGTCATGAGGTTCAAGACTTTTACTTATTTCCAACATCTAAATACCCTCTATATTACACAAAAATCACACTTTTCAAGCCTCAATCTTGGACTTAACCCACTTCTCCAGACCGCCCTTCGCGATAATCTCCTGCACATTAGCAGGCAACTCTCCGACCTTCTGCTCCCATTGCTTGCCATCCTTCTCCGTAACAACGACCTTTGACCTCCTCACATCCCAAACAAACTTCCACCCTGTTCGTCGAGTGAGCGGCTTTTCGGTGTCGTTCTTGTACGTCTCGCGGAGACGCTCGACGAGGCGCGGCACCTCGACGCCCATGAGTGCGTTGTTGATGCTGTTACGGCTGAAGATGTTGCCGAAGCTGCCCGAGACCACGAGGGGGATCTTCTTGGCGAGGATGGCGGTCGCGGCTTGTTCGCGGGACGAGCCGCAGCCGAAGTTGAAGCCGGTGACGAGGATGTCGCCTGGCTGGGCGATCTTGCCGAACTCGGTGTCGTAGTTCTCCATACAGACTTCGGCCATCTTCTCTGTTGAGATGTTATCCTCATATGTGTACTTGCCTATCAAGCTGTTAGTTGCGCCGTGGGGAATGAGGAGGGTTTGACGAACCAGGGTAGATTCCATCAGTGTTGATGTTATCGCTGTCGCAGAAGACAATTTCACCCTCGACCTTCTCAGGGAACCCGGGGAGGATCTCAGTCAGCGACTCCTCCTCGGACGCAGCAGGGCTTGCTTCCTCAGTTGCACCCTCAGACTTCTCAGCAGCGGCGATCAAAGCGTCAGCCTCGTTGATGATCTTGTCGAGAGCATCCTCGATAGACAAAGCCTTGTCAGCAACAAAGTCACCGCTTCCCTCGCCAATGATGACCTTCTCAACACCCTCGGGCTTCTGGTACCAGCCAGGGCCAGCGATCTTGCCTTGGAGAGCACTTGCAGCAACGATCTCAGGGCTGGAGAGGTATGCCTTGGCTGATGTAGAACCCATGCGGCCCTGAATGGGTGTTAGCTTTAGGTTATAGTTCAACGCTGATAAGAGCTTCTTACCTTGAAGTTACGGTTACTGGCACTAATACCAACCTCACCGGGCTCAAGAAGACCCTTGCCCAAGCCGATGCATTGTCCACATCCTGAGATCATGGGAATAGCGCCAGCTTCAACCAACACCTGCCAATCTCCAGCCTCCTCGGCAATCTTTTGCTCAGGGATGGATGCCGCGGAGATGTAGAACTCGACATCAGGAGCAACCTTGGCGGGCTTACCCTCCTTAGCGGCCTCACGGAACACACGAGCGGCAGCCGCGATATCAGATGCTCGAGAGTTGGTGCAAGACACGAGGTAAGCCTTGTTGACGGGAATGTTCTCAGCCTCAAGCTTGTGCAAGGGGGTGGCGACCTTAACAGAGTTGGGTCCTGAGACAATCGGTGATAGAGTTGAGAGGTTGAGGTACAGTTCCTTAGCATACGTGGCACCAGGATCAGCAGACAATCTGTTCTGATCGAGCTCATCGATTCTCTTGTGGTTGATACGATCCTTTGAAGAGCCGTTGAACATGGCGTTGGTGGTGGCCTTGGCGCGGTACCATGAGATCAGCACATCGTCGACAGGGAAGACACCAGCGAGGGCACCCCACTCCGTTGTCATGTTGCTGATGGTCAAGCGCTCGTCGATAGTAAGGCTTTCACCACCAGCAAACTCGATGGCGTGGTTTAACACTTGATCATCACGGAAGAGGCCGCAGAGAGCAATAATGACATCCTTGCCGGTAACTCCAGGGGGAAGAATGCCAGTGAAAGTGACCTTTGCAACGGGAGGGACCTGCCACCAGGTCCGTCCAGTAGCCCAGATAGCGGCTGCGTCTGTACGAACGACAGCAGTGCCGAGACAACCTATACCTACATGTATGTTAGCAGCCTTAAAGTTTGGCTTTTGCAGTGTGTCATACCTCCGTACATATTACTGTGGC